AACGTTCTCTGGAGGTTTTCTAAAGGACACAAACATCCTCAACCTTCACACAACAGTTGGTACATTTGTGGGCGGAGCTACAGTGGCTGCAGAAAGGAGGTGGAGCTTTCTCCAGGGGCCCATCTGTTAAAATGTTACACCTGTAAAACAGCTGGTATACACGACAGAAGTGAAAGAAGTTTTCAGAGGCTTCGTCTTCATGGTTTAAACATTCACCTCCCAATCAGAGGATTGCAGGTTTGATCCCGGTCACACGTGTGCACGACTGTCTGTAAGGGAGCAGCTGAACACAGCAGCTTCATCCTGTTTGAGCAGAAAGTGCAGCTCGTCTGTTTTCTGCAGCACTTTGAGGATTTGTGAGCGCACAAACATTCTGAGTGTTACAGCTTAGCTGGCACGTTGGTGATGATGTAACACCACAGCTGATTGATAGGGTCAGACCACAAAGACAAACTGCTGGACCTTCACAGGGTCCGGTTCTTTATGTTGGACTACACTGGCTGTGTTTGAATCGCTTCTCACAGATGTGCCAGCAGCAGAATCTGCCTGTGCTGATCTTTTAAGTCTGGATAAAGTAGCGGTAATCCAGGACGTCGAGCCTTCGCTGCGCTGCTGCTGAGCGTCATTCAAACCCTCCGAGTCCTCTGAGCGTCCTTCACGAGGTCGTCTGAGATAATTCCTGCCGTCAGCTCACACCAAAACCAGTCATCGAAACAACAGCAGAAACAACAGAAAGAGCAGACGCAGGTTTCCGTGGAGCTGTCAGAGATGCGCACGCTCACAGCGTCTCTGCTGACGGTGCAGGTGGAGGAGGCGCCCACCACGTTTCCCACGCACCTCCAGCTTTTCCACCAGCAGAGCATCTGATCACTTTCATGTGCAGCGCTGATCAGAAACACAAAATTCAGTGTCTGCAGGAGAGAAAATGATTCAGTGTGAGCCATACGGAGGCCCGCGAGGGCCAAACTCACAGATGCTGCAGGGCTGAGTGACAGCTGCACTTTGTGTCCTTCAGGCTGGAAATAAAACTGATTTCATTATTTGATTGAATTACGGCGGCATGCTGAGAATGGCCATCTGCGTGTGTGTTGCAGGTCTGCGCGGCTCGCTCTCCAGGTTACAGCTGGACTATGTGGACATCGTTTTCGCCAACAGAACGGACGTGAACGCGCCGATGGAGGGTCAGCGTGCACAAGCACACGTGCACAAGCACACGTGCACAAACACACGTGCACAAACACACGTGCACAAACACACGTGCACAAACACGTGAACAAAGTAGCTCCACATGGAGACAAAATACAACAGTATTTAAAGTTTTCAGTCACTGAAAGCTACAGCTCATCACGTTTAGTGAATGAAAGTTTCTCTGCAGCAGACAAATGTAAAAGTTTAAAATGGAACGTTATCTGTCTCAGTGCGTTCTGTCTAAACACGATGAAATCATCATTTTTCCTGTTCTGGATGAAGCAGAGCAGAGAGCCTCAGTCTGTGTGCAGCTGGGACTCACTGCTTTCTGTTTTTGCAGAGATCGTTCGAGCCATGACCTTCGTCATCGAGCAGGGCATGGCCATGTACTGGGGGACGTCGCGCTGGAACGTGGTGGAGATCATGGTAACACAACTCACAGCTGTGGGACCTGCACAGCTTTACTCTGAGCTTTGACATTTATGTTCCTGATACTGTATATTAAAATAAATAAATATAGACAGAGATGAGCTTCTATCTCAGGACAGATTCATTAACGAAACACCCGAGTGTGTCTCACCTGTGTGTCCACCAGGAGGCGTACTCCATTGCGCGGCAGTTTAACCTGATCCCTCCGGTGTGCGAGCAGGCCGAGTATCACTACTTCCAGAGAGACAAAGTGGAGCTGCACCTGCCCGAACTCTACCACAAGATCGGTACACACACACACACACACACACACACACACACGGTTTCTCAGTTATCTCATCAGTGTCTGAGGGTTCTTATAGAAAGCCGAACACATGTGATGATCGCACAGTTACAGTTACTGCTCGGCCTTATAAGCCACGTCCTGCATCATCAACGTAAACCAGGAGCAGTCTGAGCTGCAGCAGACTGGAGGAGCTGGACTCAAACCATCAACCCTTTGAGTAGCAGACAGCTGCCTCTAAATCCTGCGACGCCTTTAACGGCTTCATGACGGCACAGCTGAGACTCAGTGGAACCCTGAGGAGTACCAGGGCTACGGGAGATAACAGAGCTGCTTCACTGCTGCTGATCATACATCACATTCAGCGTCAAAGTTCACCTTCACTCTTTATTTATGAGCACATGAACGTGATTTCCCATATTTATTCTCTGTGTGTACAAAGTGAAGGTTTCTCTGCGTCAGCTGATTTTGGAGGTTGAACACAGTTTGGATGAGTGTAGCTAACAGACTGATGAGCACAGCCCTGTTTTTTAACCACAGACAGCTGCAGTGTGCAGGTCTGAAACACGAGTCAGTGCTGGAGTGCATTAAATATGCATGCCTCTTTATGACCAGCAGGGGGCTCTGTAAACTTGTCCCTGATGTGTTTCTGGTCTCCAGGCCTTACTAAATAAAAAAATCATGTTCAGTTTGGAAATTTGGTCTCATTAGAAACAGGAAGGAGGGTTTCGGAGCTCATGAGCTGACATGTGAATGATGACAGTGGTTTTACAGCCAATTTCAAAACATCACCCTGGTGAAAGCTGTCAGCTCGAGGCTCGTCTGGCTGCTTTTACCTCGTCCAGCTTCCACTAACTTCCAGCTGTGGTTACATTTATGTGACAGGACGTTTCTCAGAGGGGCCGGAACCACCCCTGGCCACCTCTTTAGCTGTGGTACTGGTCACACACTGACCATGAACCTGCTTTAATCTCATCTCTTTGATCTCATCGGGCAGGTAGAAGGCTGACCTGCGTTAAACACTGTAGTGGGAGCTGTGGGAGCTGTGGGTTGTGTGGGAATGTTTACTGTTGCTCTCAGGTCACTTTGGCAGAGTACAGCTGTGTGATCAGCGGTTGTGTGTCTGTTGTTCTGTCAGTGGCTGTCAGTGATGAGCTCTCAGGCTGGTGCGATGATGAAATGTTGCTCTGTGTCTTTAACTGGACGCTGAGACCCAGCCGAGGTCTGTGGGGACAGCAGCTGTTCAGGTCCGCCTCTAAATTTAGACCCGTTTAACAAAAGTGCTCCAACATGAGGTCTGTGTGTCTGTCAGGTGTCGGAGCCATGACCTGGTCCCCGTTAGCTTGCGGCCTGCTGACGGGCAAATACAACGA